GTTGATCTTTCATTTGAAGTTAAATTATCAGTAAATTTGGATGGCAAAATACATTTGGAATGTTTTTGTGTTCCAATTTTGAAAACCCCAAATCAACAAGTCAGCTTCTGGGCTTACTCCTTGAAAATGTTCAGTTGTGTTTGTTGATGGAAGCAGTGCACTAACTACATTGAACACATATACATTTATTGATTAATAGTAACAGTGACCTTGACCCTGACAGACACAATGGGTTATTTTCAGCTTGTCCACAAATTGTTGTTTGATCATTAATGAATATTGTATTAAACTACCAGTCATGAGACCTTTTCAAAAGCTTCAGACTAACAGGATGTGGACACAAGACAGCCACCGTATTAATGATAGGTTTATCTCAGCAGGGATACTCCTCTTGAACCTCATCTGACCAATCGGGTGGCTGAAAGGTAACATTAGTTATAGGTTATAGAACCAATCACACAACACCTCCCTAATGTTATGTATAAAACAGAAACTACCATTAATGTATACAAATTTTGAAAGATAAAATCAGGAATACAAACTTACCAGTCAAATTAGTTTTTAGTCATTTGAACAACAGAGACTTAAGAGCTTGTAAATACCATAAGAAAATAACATTTAGCCATTTATTTTTATGTTTTAATCATATCTGCCTTGTTTGAATGGTTAGGCAACACCTGTTTTTATTCAAATTGTGTGAGGGGCAGGTGCTATTCAACCTTATTTGAATGGTTAGCAACAAACGTGTTTTTTTATTTAAATTGTGTGCATGAGAGGTGTGAACAGCAGAGCAGGAATTGCTGCCCTTGCTATTCGACCTATTTGAATGTTTAGACAATAAACAGTTGGTTTTTTTATTAAATTTATGTGAATGCATGTGGCAGATGATTTTCAACCTTATTTCAGGGCTCCAGATAATTTTTCAACATCAGGAGAACGTACTCCTTATTTTTTCAATATAGGAGTACTGGAAAACCTTAAGAGTACATTTAGAGTACTGAATGGAATTTAATGGAGTATCAGTAATCTTGTGTTTTGTTTCATATATGCACCACAACATTGCTACTCTTGTGTAAACAGGTCAATAACAATACTTTTTCAGATAAATATGTCTGTAAATGATTAAGACTAAGACCGTACACCACTGCTGTGGTGCGTATCTGCTACGTTTTCTAAGTTACTTTCTACCGTATCGTGCATATCTTTTAGCCGTACATATGCCGATACGGCCCTTATCTGGAGCCCTGTTATTTATATGGTTAGCAACAAACATTTTTTTTTATTCAAATTATATTCAAATTGTTCTAACAGCAGAGAAGGAATTGCTGCCCTTCCAAACACGTGCTGCTATTCGACCTATTTGAATGGTTAGACAATAAACAGACAAATGGTGTCATCACAGTTTTACGTGATCCACCTGTAATCTCCGTCCCTGCTATCCCTTTTCACTCATGGTAATCTGGGCAGATAATCACGACAAAATATTCTCTGACATATCACTGACAATTACCTGTTTGGTATCTCACACAGAATCGTTACTTTATGTTACGTTAATAGTTGTAGACAAGTATTGAATAAAGGACAAGGATAGTTTATATACAAGTTTATAATGTCACAGCTATTTGCTACATCGTCTAAGGCCTCGTCATCATATAGTACAGAATATCACACCTTGGCTGCTCCCTCATAATATTAATACAAAATTTACAAAATAATTCTTGAACAACATTTTGCACGAACTAAATGGCTTGCAAACAATTTGTACCTAACAACATAAAGTGACTACTAGCTAGCATACATACATATAACTTTAAGGACTGTTCTGCCTTACACACCTAATGCAATGTTTTCAAGGACTGGGTGCTCTCTGGTGTTGAGGTATGGTATGAACTCAACTAAAGACAGACAGTATTTTCAAGGAACTCAAACATTTGGGCAAGTGGTTAAGGTTGATGATTGGTTACATAGGAATACCATGGCAGATTTATGAACTTGGAATTCATATTTCAATTTGGTCCTTCCTATAGTGTGTGTTACAAGGGCATAGACTGAATATTATTCTGTGGAACAATATTCACCTTTATGACTACTGGTTGGCTTAGTACAGAAGATGTGATAATATGCTGCCAGGTTATATGTTGCTTACCATGGCATATAACCAACCCTCTCACTCACTACCTACCTCACTCACTCACTCACTCACTCACTACCTCACTCACTCACCACCTCACTCACCCACTACCTCACCCTCTCACTCACTCACTACATCAATCTCACTCAATCACTACCTCACTCACTACCTCACTCACCACCTCACTCACTTCCTCAATCACTACCTCACTCACTCAATCACTACCTCGCTCACCACTTCACTCACTACCTACCTCACTCACTCAATCACTACCTCACTCATCCTCTCACTCACTACCTACCTCACTCACTACCTCAATCACTACCTCACTCACTACCTCACCCTCTCACTCACTCACCTCACTCACACACTACCTCACTCACTCACTCACTCACTGAATGATGCATGTGTAGAGTCATTGGCAAAGCATATCTACAACAAGTTGAAGCTACGGGGTGTTACCAGTTAAATATTTAGATTGATTAGGCCAAAAAAAAAATGTTGTGGTTCCGATTTCCTACATTTCAGAACTAGGGTAGGTAGGTAGGGTTTTGTTTTTTTGCAAAATATTTTTACACTACACATGTGTCTGAAAATAAATTTAATTTATTATGTGGTGAGTAAAATTGTTAGGCTCGGCGGGAATATTTAGGGTCGGTCGGGGAAATCGGAACCACAAGCTTTTTTTTTTAGGCGTGATGAAATGATTGATTACAGAACATTTGCAGAGGATGTCATCAACTTGTAGCTTCAGTAACCTATTGGCTCCCAGGCTGCAATATTTTCAACAACAGATCCAGTATTTAGTGCTTAAGTGTTGACTTCATGTTGTGAGTTACACATGTCAGTAGCAGGTCAGCAGGTTGTTACAAGCCGGATGGACTTGTACACCATGAGACCAAAGCTCAGACAATGTACGAGACAGCTCAGCCTGTACATTCCTGTACACACCACTGTTGACACAGGGAAAACATTGATCACTACGTGTTCACAGAGTAGTGCGATGGAGAATATTTATGTGACAGCATCGGATATGCCAACAGGTTCGGTTTGGTTTCTCAAAATGTGTACATGGTCAGTTATCACATGGCAAGGACATGAAACATTATGACGTCAAGATATCCGGACAGGCTCACCGACCAACTGACCGATAAGACAGCAACTAACAATCAGATAACTGGATTTCATTACAAACTGATAAAGGTTACAACAGGTATAACCTGTATGCTGAAATGTGCCCTGTGGAAATGTACAATTGTATACCAGACTATCGGTATGTCTGGTACCAGAGCCAGGATGGCACCACTCAACAACCCACACAAACAGGCTTTGGTCTCTGCAGCCAACATGGTGTAAATTTCCAAACTAGTTTCATGCATTGTGGAATGGCAGTGTCCACTGGTGCCAGGTTGAACCCAGGTTACATTTTCGTATTCCTGTGTGTATCATGGTACCACCCTACAATGCACACAAACAGGTTTTGGTCTCAGCAGCTTACATAGTGTAAGCTTTCCAACCAGTTTCATGCATTGTGGAATGGCAGTGTCCACTGGCATCAAGGTTAAATTTTGGTATACCTGTCTGTATCAGGGTACCACTCCACAACACACAAACAGGTTTTGGTCTTTGCAACCTACAAAGTGTAGATTTCCAAACCAGTTTCATGCATTGTGGAATGGTAGTGTCCACTGGCATCAAGGTTAAATTTTGGTATTCCTGTCTGTATCAGGGTACATTTCAGAATACAGAAAGGTTTGAATCCTTCATCATTAGGAGACAGCATCCCTATTTTGAATGGTACAAGAATGGTTTTCTTCTTGAATAAAACATGAAATGCTGCCATCGGGGCTGATATTTTAATGATGAAAGCCTGAGCACTATGCTACAGTTCTGTAGCAAACAGTGAAGTAATCACTGGACCAATATACTACTCAACATGTGATCCGATGTGTCGTTCTATTTACATATACATTAACACATTATGAGAATCAGTTGGATCATAGAAAGATGATCCTTCCCAAACAAAAGTTGAGTAGTATATTAAAGAGGTCGTGACCTGTAGAAAGGTTGCATCATCATTGTGCATATGTCTCGTTCACAGCTTCCACTCACCGCACTGTCATGAATATGTTGTGAACCCCATGGATACTGCTGTCTCACACAAGTAAGCCATACAGAAATATAATCTTTGTGGGATAAAATTAACGTTGAAAGTCTGCTAGCTTAAATAACAACATATCACAACATCAAACATTTTTAACAATTTTGAGTAGCAGGGGCAATGTTAGGCAAATTCCTTAGGCTAGCATGCTGATGCTAATTTCTTTATCTGATCATCTGTTTCATAGGGTTGTGCTTTGCAAAAACATGTATATATGATCATCTTGAAATATGTTCAATATATATGCACCTGGAAAAATTCAGCACAGACCCGTCATTATTTCATATATCTCCCACTTCAAATGAAATACCTACATAATGGTCTTATTTCGATAAGTAGGGTATCACTAATACATGATCATGATAATGCATGACGTTTGTACAAGAACACTGTTTCTCCAGATAGCTGCATCTGTTGACTGGATGCAAAGAAGCTTCTGAAAGGGCAGTGTATGAAATGGATTTCTGGGCTAGATTTCTGACGGATTGACTAAATTTACAGCTAGCCAGCCCGATGGTCTGAAATTGAGCGTTACTCTGACAACAACTCGGAGTCGGATTTCTCTGAAAATGACTGTTGTGAAAAGACCGTTAGACAGTAAATACATGTCTCAGGTTCATTAAATTATTAATTGTAACTAAAAATTGAGTTGTTTTTTTGGGGGGGGTGGGGGGGTGTCTGGTCTGGTTAAATCCATTTGGGGCTATTAACATTTTGAAGTTACACGCCCTTATGTCTGGCTGGGTTTTAGCTTATTTCATACACTGGAAAAGGGTAAACAAAGAAATACTGCCAATGAACAGATTCCAAACATATCAGCAAATCCATTATGGTTTCTGAATTTGAATGAGTATGCTACTCAATATTTGTTCAGGATCACACCTTTGACTAAAGATGACTATCCTTATCAAATTTTGAGCAGTGTGGTTCTTTGTAAACAAATGTAAATGTGTTTGATTTATAGGATAGAATATTAAAAATAACAATGTGGTAAGTGGTGTTTGATGTTTTTCCAGAAATATGCAAGTCATTTTGCAACAACATTATTACCAAACCAGTGACTTCTATACATGTGAATTGAAGTAGAGTCCTGTGTCAATGTACCTCCTCACACACAAATATAACCTTTCAAATCAAACAGAATTTGACTTAATAACATGTACACATTGATCACATACCCTGAAGATGATTTAGCTAGATATCCTATGAAAATGCATGAAATGAGTCTGCACGATACTCTTGCTATTTCCATACATCAATACAAAATACTCCATTAGATTTCAGACAGGACCAACGTGTAGTTTGGCACCGTGTGATAAATGCTATAACTTGGTTTCCATGCTATCTATCTTGATAATGGGATGTAGATGTGAGGTATTACACTGTGTATCCTCATTGCAGTCGGAATCTTTGGTCCGGGGAAGTGTAATCATGTTTTTGCCCACCCAGCCAATCTGCATCTGAGGCTGAGCAAGTAACGGATCCTCAGAGGAGTTTGAGGTCATGGAATCATTACTGTTGTTCCTGTGAAGGGGGGAGTTTTTGGTGTTTCCTTTTGAGGTAAAGTTCTGTATCATCACTGTGGGCGTTACGGGTATAGGCACTGGGGAATACGCATTGAGTCTTGAAGAGGAGGAAAATTCCTTTAGATCTGGAATTGGTATGGTCAATTTTGGCAGCACTTTCACCTTCTTGTCCTCTTTGTAGTTTGTTTTCTTCTCTACAGAGAGCTCTTCGCATGATATATGCAAATTCTCAGACAATATTGGCATGCTTTTGTTCCATGTTTTGGGTGTTACTGGAGTCAGATTGTGTCGTAATGTCAATGAATCCAGTGGACAAGATCCTGGGATGTGATTTCGCACTGTGTGGGGTTGAACTTTGAGAATTACTCCTGAGATATCTTGGAAACTGGCGCTTTGTGAAGATAGTGGTTGATCCTGAACCCATTGAGCTGTTGCCTGTGCGATGTCTGTTTCAACGCTTGGAAGCTGCTGAATAAGTCGCTGTTGTCGCATCTGATGGAGGTCTAGTGTTGTAACTGAAGGGGAAGAAAGGTTGCATGTTGGAAGCAGAACAGGGGAAGGTAACTCTGTTTGATTCCATTTCGAATGCTGATCATCAGTGGTGGGGCTGTAATTGTGTTCGTTGACTATCAGCTTTTGGCATTCTATACTGGCCTGGATTTGATCTATCACAAAATCCTTTCCAAAAAACTTTTGTTCAAATCCACCGATAGTTGAATGTTCCAACAAGCCACAAGTCTGCTCCACAGTGGTCGGGATGAACCTTCCCATGACCTCTTTCTCGGCAAACACTTTATCCTTTTTCCTTTTTTCTCGAATTAATCGAATCACAGCTTTCTTGCACTTTGTTCTATAAAACAGGTATATAATCACCCACACAAGAATCCCACCTAGCACTGCGGCGGTGTGCAAGCCCACATTGGGATTGTAAGATCGGTAGAACCTCTCCCTTTCAGTGAGGACAGGACTTGTTGAGTCTTCAATGGCATCTGTTAAATTGAACTGGTAGTTTGCGCTGTCATTGAGGAATTGAGGTGAAAGACCGACAAGTGAGGGGTTATTATACATGGCATTCTCATTGGCTGGCTCTTGCTCCTCGTCTTGATCATTATTGGTCGAGTCCTCTATGTTCATTACGTCATGAGTCTGAAACAAGAGAAGGCACAGATATTATGGGTTGGCATAACAGAATAAATCCAAAATAATCATATTTTATACTTCAAAAAACTTGCTGCAATTTGAATCAAGTTGAATCATGGGTAATTTTTTACAAAGTTTTGGTGGGTGTTTTTTTAGCATGGAAAATAATGTAGGGAGTGACAAATCACATATTTTTGACATTCATGATATAAAAGGGTTCAAGCTTTCAGTTTATTAAAGCACCATTAATCAATAAAATGTGGTAAGAAGAGTATAATTGATGGAATATATTTACGGTGTTCAATGTGTGTTAGGGTTAGAAGTGAGCAGATACTGTTTTTTCTTTGAACATAAAACGGATATTGCAGCTTTGATGATATATTGCCCTTTTACTTGATGAAATGGTTGTTGATAAAAAATAATGATCTATTTGGTAGGGTTATCAAGAGAATGACTTGAGTTTCCTTCCGGTAGTTGTCACTATCATACATCAGGATCAGGATCATTATCATTATGTGATATTTGTATAACGCCAATATCCAGCTCAGCTCAGCTGCCCAACCGCCATATAGCTGGAATATTGCTGAGTGAGGTGTAAAACTAAAACTCACGACTCAAAGGCGCTTCGTGTTTTCCTTGATCATTGGATGTCAATCACAATGGCACATCATATTTTTCAATCTCAACTCCCTGGGGAGCATACAACTCTTACAGCCTTTTAGGCACTCCAAGTTAATGTGGCTTTCCCATCCTTACGAGGTACCCATTCACAGCTGGGTGAACTGGGACACATAGTCACAGTACTTTGTGGCTCGATCCACAAAGGATAAACCTTTGACTAAGTTCCTGTATAGTATATAAAACAGTGAAGCTGAATCATTCACTCACTCAAAACTTATCTTCTTTTTCTATCCCTTCCTTACTTGGCCTATTTAAGAGGGATTTCTAATAAAGTATTTCTAAAGGTTTAATTCAAAGGATTGTCCAGATAATGATGAAGCTTAGCTTTCTCATTTGTAGTTGCTAGTATGTTTGTAAAGTACGTGAGTGAGTGAGTTTAGTTTTACGCCGCACTCAGCAATATTCCAGCTATATGGCGGCGGTCTGTAAATAATCGAGTCTGGACCAGACAATCAAGTGATCAACAGCATGAGCATCGATCTGCGCAGTTGCGAACTGATGACATCTGTCAACCAGGCCAGCGAACCTGACCACCCGATAATGTTAGTCACCTCTTATGACAAGTATGGGTTACTGAAGATCAATATTCTAACCCGGACCTTCACGGGTATTGTAAAGTAAGCGAATTAATCAAAGTTTAGATTAATCCTTTCATTACTTATGTTAAGTGTAAAACACTCACTTATCAACCAACCCACTTGCTCATTCGTTCAACCCGTCAAGATCTGGGTTAGAATTGGTCGGGTGATCAGACTCACTGACTTGGTTGACACATGTCATCTCAATCACTGTACCGGTGTCCAGTTGACTTTCCAATGTTAATTATGTTGTTTATTTTAAAAATCAGATGTGATGCTCATGTTATTTCCACCCCTGACATGTCATGTCAATCACAGGGTTGTCTGGTCCAGACTTAATTCTTTACAGACCATCATTATGCAGCTAGAAAATTGCTGAGGGCAGCGTTAAACTACAAACACTGATTCGCTCGCTCGTTCGTTCGTTCGTTCGTTCGTTCGTTCGTTCGTTCGTTCGTTCGTTTTTATCATAGCTGCACTGTCATACTAGCAGTAGGGCTGCAATGAATACACTATGTGGCGAATATGATACGTATCATGAATATTGGGTAACGAATACGAATAATTATTCACAAATACAATATTGTAGTTAAGTGATTGATGTACAATATGGAACGCCCATGCTGACAGGTTTGATTTGTCACAACAATAACTGTCATCTCATGGCACTCAAATTTGGTATGAAATAGTTATAATCGACAGTACCATGTGCAGTCTTGGCAAACTAACATGACTTGCACTACTGCAATGCTAGTACATGTTCCATTCTTACATATCTCACTTTGGTAAGGACATAAGGGTTCAAGTAAAACTTGCTCCCTTAACAAAATTATGAGTATTCGTTAATATTCGGTTCTGGTGACCACGAATAATGAATTGAATTCATGAAGGGCTACGGTTCGATTCACCGAATATGCGAGTGAATCGTTACAGCCTTAACTAGCACATGCTAACTTTCATTGCTCTTATCTTATCCAGCCATTTTAAAGAACCATGTAGGTCTTTAATTTTCAAAAATGATTTACACTTTCCTGACGTAAGTGAAACACTGCTTTCGGATTCACTCTTTAACTGTTCGGCTGTTTATTATATTGTATGCTGACTTGACAGTAATATGAAGACGCCACATGCATCTTGTTAAATCTTAATGAAGTGGTACCGGCTATACTAAATGAGAAGTCATGCTCCGCATTATATCAATTACACATGTACTTGTTCTTGCTGATGGCTCATTTACACTGCTGTGCTTTACTTTTTTTAAAGCTGCATAAACTTTGTTTTTATCTTTGTGGGAGAGCCGGACTTGGCACTGATGTTTACATTGATTGCCGAGATTTACAAAGTTTATTTAGTTTTAGGAGAATACTGGCTGTTAAGTGCAGTCACAAATATTATTTGAGTCATGAGCCCCTGTAAATGAATTCTCTAATTTGGCATATTTTGTTTCCAGCTTTGCATGATGGTAAATAATGTTCCTCGTAATGTACAGTTATGTAAATATTATTTTCAAAATTTAACTGTTCTCGGCATTCTGCCTGTTCTGAACTTCAGCATGGAAATTAGGACATTGGGCCTTTTCCACAAAGTGATGTTATCGCTATAAATATCATCAGTTGGAAGTTTGAGAGTCAGGATCATCTTAGAGCTAAGATGCTTAGCAGAACGGCAACCTGGGTGCTGTAGTACAGAACAACAGAACTGTCATAAGTATATGTTAAATTTTGGGAGTTACAAAACATGGAAATGAGAATATTTGGCCTTTGCCGCAAAGTGATGTTATTGATGTAAATATCGGGCAGTGGGGTAGCCTAGTGTTTAAAGCGTTGGCTCGTCACGCACACCGAAGACCCGGGTTCGATTCCCCACATGGGTACAATGTGTGAAGCCCATTTCTGGTGTCCCCCGCCGTGATATAGCTGGAATATTGTTAAAATCGGCGTAAAACTGAACTCACTCACTCACTCACTCACTCACTCACTCACTCACTCACTGATGTAAATATCATTGGTCGGAAGTATGAGAGTCAAGATCATCTTAGAAGTAAGATCCTCAGTAGTTACGACTATCGTAAATCTGCATGTTTAAATTTCTGGGAGTTATGATCATCGTAGCACTAAAATCTCTTTGTACTGCAGTGAAGTACTGCGGTGAAGTACTGCAGTTCCAGTTCTTTCTTGTCATCATATCACAAAGGCATGGTCTTTTGTTGATAGTTTTATCCAATGGATGAGATTAATTATTTACAGGCCACTTGAACAGTGCTGACTGGCCCATTAGTCAACATTAACTCACTTAAAACATTGATCACAGCTCATGTGATGCAGGGTGCATGAACTTCAACATCTCCAACAAAGTCATTCAATGATCTGTGCATCGAACTTACACAGGGTGAGCGAGTTTAGTTTTATGCCACATTTATCAATATTCCAGTAATATCACAGCAGGGGAAACCAGAAATGGGCTTCACACATGGCACCCATTTGAGGAATCAAACCTGCGTAATCTGTGTGACGAGCGAACGCTTTAACCACTAGGCTACCCCTCTGCCCTGAACTAAGACAGGGTAATATTCTTGATTATGGCTCCAGGATCTCAAGTGGGGAGCATGGGCACAATGTGTGAAGCCCATTTATTGTGTCCCCTGCCGTGATATTGCTGGAATATTGCTAAAAGTGGCGTAAAACCCAACTCACTCACTCACTCAAGTGGGGAGCATGGGCACAATGTGTGAAGCCCATTTATTGTGTCCCCCGCCGTGATATTGCTGGAATATTGCTAAAAGCGTCGTAAAACCCAACTCACTCACTCACTCAAGTGGGGAGAACTGTCCCCATGCAGTGAGAGAGTAGGGTTATATGCCACTTTTAGTGACATTCCAGCAATATCACTGTAGGGGACACCAGAAAGGGGCTTCACACATTGTACCCATGTGGAGTCATGATGAGCGAATGCCTTAACCACTCAACTACCCCCATGCAGTAACCCATGCTTGTCTTGAGTGAGAGAGATGGTTTTATGGCATTTTTAGCAAAATTCCTGCAATATTAAAGCTGGGAGGACCTAAAACATGTTCACACATTGTACATATTGGTGATAGAACATGGTTTTACAGCATGACATCCATTAATGAGGAGGCCATGGCGGCTGAGTGGGCGGGAATGCTCCGACTTTGTGTGCTGGAATTAGGTACCTCACTCTGACGGTGTGGGTTCGAATCCCGGGTGGGACACAACCCAAGGTTGTAGAATCTGTATGGGAAGGTCTTATCCAAAATACAACATTTTTTAGTAAGTATTGTGATACACCTGAACATTTGCAGAAAATGCTTCCAAGGTCTTGGCACAAGATGATCAGATGATCATAATGCCGATATGTGAGTCAGTGGCACAGTACAGCTTGGTTTGTTTCTCATGTTATCAACCACTGAAACGAGTAGTCCAGATTAAATACTGTACAAAATCTGTGAAGATCCGGGTTATGGTAACCCATGCTTGAGGGCTGGAGGGGCAGTGATGATGATTTTATGGAGAAGCATGTACAATACAATGTGAATGACCCCCTAAAATTTATGTACAAAATAAGTGACCCCCTGCATGTCATGTACAAAATCAATTCTCCCTCCCTCTCCTTCCCATAATTTCTTCAAAGCATAATTTTAAATATACTTTTATGTACAAAATTGCTGACCCCCCCAGTAATGTGTGTGTACAAAATTGATGACCCACCTTAGCTCTCCTGAACAAAATGGGTGCCCCTTGAAATCATCATTTCTCTCCCTCCTCCTACCTTTCTCTTTTCTCTTTCTCCCCCAAAAAAAATAAAATAAAATAAAATAAAAATAAATATAAAAAATAAGTTATGAACGGTCCCTAACGGGATCGGGTGGTCAGGCTCGCTGACATGACTGGCACATGTCAACAGATCCCAATTGCATAGATCAATGCTTTTGCTGTTTATCACTGGATTGTCTGGTCCAGACTTGATTATTTACAGACTGCATAAACTTAACTCACTCACTCAATCATGTACGAGCTACGATTATATTGCTGGTCTATTTTTCTCTCGTTCCATTCAGATTTCCAATGTGGCAAGCACTCAGTGTGAGTAATCAAGGGTATGATTACAGCAACCTGACATTATTCAATACCGTCTCGTTGGTACAGAAACATTATCCTCAGACAACTGTGGGCTTTCAGCGTAATTGGGCTTATAGTGGGCTCTCCAGGACTGAATAGGTAGTGATGATCATGTATTAATATTGAACATGAATATAAAGGATGAATGTTAATAGACTCATTGGATGGGACCAAATTTCGCAATAACCATACTCATTAGTTTCATCAAAGTGGTGACCTGAGTAGATCCAGGTTAGAATTCTTCAACCCATGCATTAACACTGCTTGTAAGAGGCGTTTAACGGGATCGGGTGGTCAGGCTTGCTAACTTGGTTGACTTGGTCGTTGTTTCTCAGTTGTGAAGATGGTCCAATTTCAATCACTTGATTGTCTGGGCCAGACTCGATGGAATATTCATGTTGAACTCAGTTGCATTGAATATCAGTGAGTGGCCACGATACAGAAACAGACTAGTGTATACATATATCTCAAACAAGCATATATATCGGTAAAATAATCATCATTAAACCTCATTGTCCTCACTTCCTTCCTCCTCGCCTGACCTCACCTTACTTCACCTCACCTCACCTCACCTCACCCTCCACCTCACCTCTCCTCACATCATCTCACCTCACCTCACCTCACATCATTTCACCTTGCATCTCACCTTACCTCTCCTCACCTTACCTCTCACCTCACCTCACATCACATCACCTCACCTCACCTCACCTAACATCACATAATCTCACATTACCTCACCTCACCTCACCTAACATCACATAATCTCACCTCACATCATCTCAGCTCACCTCACCTCACAGGTAACATTGATCAAAGAACTACACGAGAAATGTCTTGACTGATCACTGTGTCAATCCAAAAACATGTATAATGACTAACATAAGTCTATATTTAGACCCTGTCAGCCAGAAACAAGAATATATTAAGAAAGAAAGTCAAGCTGAGTTCGAGAATGATTGGGCAAGTCTTCGTTCGTTCATTTGTTTGTTCATTCGGTACATTATTAAATAAGACAACTTTATTTTTGGGACAAAATGTCAGTCTAGTTTGTATTTAAACAAACGCTTATTATCTGAAAATGTATAATTTTCATAGAAGCAAACTATTCCATGTAAATTGAAAAGAAGTCCGGGTGAGCTGCAGAAAATCGGGACTTGTTTCTTTTGGGGCTCTTGCATTACAGAGTGAGTGAGTGAGTTTAGTTTTTCGCCGCTTTAAGCAATATTCCAGCAATATCACGGCAAGGGACACCAGAAATGGGCTCCACACATTGTACCCATGTGGGGAATCAAACTCGGGTCTTCAGCGTGATGAGCAAACGCTTTAACCACTAGGCCACCCCACTGCCCCGTGCATTACTGAAAGGCCTGGTCTAAAGGAAAAATGATTGGTTCAGTGACTGCAACACAGTCTAGTTTATGTTACACCATAGAAATTGGATCAGGTTAATTAGAAAGCCCCTTACCAATTGCTTTGGCCTGGCTTGCTGTTTGTCATCTGTAAATATTTGCTGTTTATTTTCAGCATGATTTTATTACTCGATAGCCTTTCCTCACTTTAATCAATTATTTTTTCTTCTAAAACATCCAATAAATTTCTCTTAAAGCATGTAGCGAATTGATTAACTCCAGTGTCACGATCTCACCTCTGACGTCTGACTGCTGACGTTTTATTACGAGTCGAAAGAAGCACAAACCCTTTTCTACCCACTCAATCACTGACTCTCATTTAATGGCTTTTAAATCCAAAACGTGGAGAGAAAAACTGGTCATGCATTTGTTAAATCATACAAATTTTGCAATGAATTTAAAATATTGTAAAGTTAAATATGACAGTTCTAGCGGGCTGAAAAAGGTCACTTTTTTATCATTTGACTTGATTTGACCAATCAATATGTTTCACAGGTTGAGATTTTCAACAATACCTTGGCAGCCATTATAGAAATATTTAATAATTTCTCCAATCTATAATAATCTGTATACATATACTGATATTATGTTTAATGTTAGGAGCTCTGGAATTGTAGAAATCCTGGAAATGAAATTGATATTATTTATGTTATCTTTCTGTGCATTACTGTGCATATTGATGTTTAATTTCCAGACAGTGTCTCCTCAAGACGCACAATTAGCCTGATTCTAATGGCAAAACCACGCCCAATCTCAACATTTTATTGCATTGATTTTCAATAAAAGGAAAGAAATTTGAGATTGTGAATATTTTTGATTCATGAAAGCAGGCAGTAATATAAGGGTTTTGTGAGAGTAGTACATTCTGATCAATATAGCTCCACACAATGCATGGGTGTTTGGAAGATAGTGTTAGTCGTAGGTTGGTACAGAATAGACATACTTACTGCTGGTCGGAAATAACACCTGAAGCTAAAACTCAACTTTGACATTTTAAATTTTGTGAAAAGGAGTTTCTGTTGATTTATATTAGTTCTGTGATGATTCCCAGCTATTTTAGTATTCCAGTTCTCATATTGCAAGCAGGGCGATAGGGTAGCCCATGGTTAAAGCATTCGCTCAACACGCCGAAGATCCAGGTTCGATTCATCACATTTGTACAACGTTTGAAGCCCATTCCAGTGTCTCCCCGCTATATTGCTGGAATATTGCTAAAAGCATCGTACAACCATACTCACTCACTCACTTCTTTGCAAGTAGTTAGCGGACGGTGGGGTAGCCTAGTGGTTAAAGCGCTATATCCAACACCATAAGTTCTTCTCACATCATCACTGTTAAGCCCCATTCTGGTGTCTCCCGCTATATTGTATTACTAAAAGCAGTACAACCAGTAAAGTCTCAGCAGTCGAGTCTTTGCAAGTCAAACCAGTTAAGTCTGGTCCAGTCAAACCAGTGATTGATAGCATGAACATCAATTATCACACTCAATTATCCAAATCACACTCTCTGATATGTAATCTTCATTATATGTTTTTAAGACAAGCGCTGGGTTCTGCTGCAGAATCTGAACAGTAGTTGAATTATGAAATGTGGAAAACGAGACTAAGGTTACCTTGATTTGCTAGTGACCATCTCTGTCATGAGGTGTTCCACTGCTGCTATTTAGATACCTTGGACTTCATCTGAAAACAAACAAAACAAACTTGATAACGCTGATACACATTGCACTCATGAAGGCTGGCATTGTGCATGGGCAAAACTCGCTTTCCTTTCTCTACTTCAGAAAGATGCTTTGAATAAAATCAAAAATACAAATTTTAAAAACCCAACTGTTCTTGAATGAGGGTCAACTTATCTTCAGATCTGTCTGTAGATATTTTTATTTCAATTTTGACCACAAGAGTTATGAGAGTTGCCTCCCTTAGATGTACCAGGCCATAGGTTCAAATCTTTGTCTAGTTTGACCAGTTTCTAGATCTATCAGTACAATATCCACACATGTGGTTTCATCAAGAGGTAAACATCCGAGGCTTCACTTCAGACTTGGCTCCCATTGGCTCATGCTGAAAATGCCATATCATTACTGAACCACAGCTTAGAGCAGCATTAACTAAAAAATATCACGAAGTGTTGTGAATTTTTCAAGCTGTTCTCTGTTCCTTCTCCTCATTCAGCAGGCTTTGATATAATACAGCAAGGAGTTTTTTTATGAAACAGGAAATTCATTCCTTTCAGAGATCGATGAAATATAAAACTGTTTCCATTACTATCAAGTTGTTTGGTAAGTCATGATGGTGTGAGATGACTCACTAAATGGCATAAGCCTGATAAAATGATTTCTGTTATTGCATGTTGCAATATATATATGATCGCAGACAGATATGTCACAAGATAAATTGTTAAAATGTAGAGTTGTGGCTTAGTGTGTACTTGTGCATACCTGTGTTTGTACTTGTGCATACCTTTGTGTACTTGTGCGTACCTGTGTGTTTGTGTGTACATGTGCATACCTGTGTGCTTGTGTGTACCTGTGTACTTGTGCGTACCTGTGTACTTGTGCGTACCTGTGTGCTAGTGTATTTGTGTGTGCTTGTTTGTTTGTGTGAACTTGTGTATACTTGTGCATACCTGTGTTTGTGTGTACTTGTGCATACCTGTGTGTTTGTGCATACCTGTGTACTTGTGCATACCTGTGTTTTTGTGTGTGCTTGTTCGCACCTGTGTTTTTGTGTGTGCTTGTGCATACCTGTGTGTTTGTGCATACCTGTGAGTTTGTGTGTGCTTTTGTGTACCTGTGTGTTTGTGTGTACTTGTGTACTAGTGGTGTTCCGATTAATTGAAATAATCGAAGATTGGTCGCAGTGGCCAAACGACCAAGCAATCGATCACATTTTCTCATAAACACAAACGACTTTGGAACCGCTGTAATAGAGTTTGAAATACTTGATGATGGAGCATATCTAGGACGTTGTCAGGGCTTGAAAACGTGTTTAATTCTTAGAAAACTCACTTCACTTTCTGAAAAGTCATGACTGAATATTTCTTGAAGAATCTTGGGAAGTTTATGTTACACTGGAACTGAATCATTTTCCACTGGATGTGAAATTTGCAAATGTAATTTGTGCAGTTTTTAAATAAAACAAAAACCCAACAGAGAACCAAATGTTTTTTCTTTATACTTATCTGCAACTACAACCTGAATAGGAAAATCTAAAAAATGACGCTAACCAATTTTTTTCGATGATTGGTCGTTGGTATTGAACCAATCATCAATTGTGAGATTTCAACCAATTCCCAACACTATTGTGTACCTGTGTGTACTTGTGCATACCTTTGTGTACTTGTGTGTACCAGTGTGCTTTTGTATACCTGTAAACATGTGTGTATCTGTGTGTACTTGTACAAAAGCTAGTTGTATTATGCTCTACACAACTGAAATATGGTTAAACGTGGAATGCCTACTTAGACACAGTACACTTCAAGACAACCTTCTTATCTCCCTTGATGTCCAGCAAAAGGCAAGCAAACAACAAGTAACAGCTCACCCAGTGATACAATTATCAATACATTCAAAACTGTATCAATGTTTAGTTTTGAAAGTATCGGTTTAAATATGTTTATGTATCGTTTACATTTTGTATCATGTTTTTTTGATGTTATGAGAGTTATAAATGATTATTTTTCATGCACAAATATGGGAAGTTAGAACTTTTTGATCTCTGAGAATAAAAAATGTTGATCTTTTCATGGACAATTATAAGATATGAAATATTAATGTTCAAAATGTAACTAAATTTACTCAGTAATGTAACGAAAATAGGTATCGTGATATGTATCGAATCTTGACATGGGTATCGTGATACGTATCGATTCATGAAACTTATGTATCGTGACAAAGCAGAGGTAATTATGATTTCACACTAAATGTATTGGATCATATTTCATTGATTCTGGATGTACTATTTTGTGATGTAATCTGCAATGAATTTCATTCAGCTCAAACATTTCCAAATATTGGTAATCTATTTTGTGAACAACTGCATGATCCAATCTAGGAATTACTTGGAGAGGGCAAAATATAATCATATAATTTGACCTTGTACCAGTATGCATGAAATACACATGAGAAGTCAAAAACAACTTTACATAGCGGAAGTAACCAATATTCAGGACCACTATAACCAGTAGTTTGTGTTCTAGCTGGGAACATGTGAATATTCCAGACAGTGCTCAGTTTAGGCAATATCATGCAGACAGATCCCACGGGTACATCTTTTAACATCTTAGGTATGACGTGCGTCAGAACCACCTACCTTCCACACTCAGAGCAGACGTGCTGATAATGGAATCACGTTATATATACAGATGTTAGCTCCCGCGACAACACTCTGTGTTCAGAGGACAAACAAATCTCTCCAATCTTAAATTTGTTACTCATTTCAAAGAAATGTTTCTGATGTCCAAAAGCAGGATGTAGTTTTGCAAACAGCTGAATAATAGGCGAGCCAATAGTCTGTCTCACAGTCCCTGAACCACATTATTTTCCCCACTGCCAAGCCCTCTCTGCAGTGCTAAAGCCCTAAATAAAGCAAGTCTAGATTTCCTCAGAATCTCTGGTCTCCCTGGGGCTCCATTTCAATTTAAATGGGCTTGTTTGTTATTATCAATATTATATATATATTCAGAGAATAAGCGATAGTCTAGTGAGCCCACTGCTAACTGCTTCTCTTAATACATCCAGCTAGCACAGGAGCTGAAGGGAATTTGTCAATAAATGACAAATCCCTCGTAAATTGGAAAATGGAATGTCAAGATTTCAAATGGTTGGTGCATATATATCATGTAGCTATTGACAAGTTGTAAAGAGCAATGCATTAAATTATTACCCAGGGTTTCAGGTAGATAAACTGGAATTTTAATTTAATTAACTTTATGTCGATCCATTTTGGCTTAAGTGGTATTTTTGGAGCTAAAGCCAGGCTTTTTTTCCTTGGTTTACACATATTTCGAGGACACATTTTGGTCAATAGATGGAAAAAAGGTATTTTAGATTTTAGAAAATGTCTTCTGGGAGTTTTTTCAACAGGTTGCCATGGGCGCTATGTTGAATTATAGCTAAAACACAAATGTAAGGCTTTGATTCAAAGTGACGAGCTTTTCCCAAGTTCAAGGTTTTAACATTTTCAACTAAAACCAAGGTGAGAGAAAAGAAATGCAGCATACAGACAACTGCTTCCTTTCATCATCAAATATAGAACAATCTTTTGATAGTGTTGCTTTGCCAACATTCAAGGCCTCAGTAAAGCTTTCAAAAGGTTTTATGGTAGACATATGGATGACATTTCGAAATTTGATCCATCAGTGACAAAAGTGATGTCCGAAGCAATTTCCTATTTTGACTTGTACGATATGTTCCCGATTATTTCAGGTGAACAAGTGACTAGACTTTGCATATGTTTGTGACAGGTGCCACCGGTGGGGCAGGATGCGCTCACCTTTTCGCGAACACCTGGTATCAATTCACTACGTCATAGTGATTCTTGAACACATGCTCTCTCATCGTATGGCATGGTGACAATCACTTGATTGTCGGTCCAGTCTTGATTTGTTTACAGTGTAGTATCCTCATGACATAGTCAAATTGTACAATCAACCAGCTTTTAGCAGAGATTTCTTATGACAGTGGATAGGATTTGTTGCTTATATTTACACTTGTTAGTAGAACATGTCAGGACTCTCTCAGAAATGTATGTAGTGTATGTGTGTTATGTTTAGCTGCATGTGTTTAGATGTATGCAGCATTTACATATAGCTTTAAGATGCACCATGTCATAGTGTATTTACATCCATCTTGTGTTTGAATGTATGCTGTTTTTATGCATGTCATGTGTGTATTCTCCTGTGTTTATATGCACCCTGTGTCATAATGAATTTACATGCATCCTGTGTTTGAATGCATGATGTGTTTATATACATGTCATGTGTATATTCGCATGTGTTTAGGGCCGTTGGGGTAGCCTTGTGGTTAAAGCGTTCACTTGTCACGCCGAAGAGCCGGGTTCGAATCCCCACATGGGTACAATGTCTGAAGCCCATTTCTGGTGTCTCCCGCCATGCTATTGCTGGAATTTTGCTAAAAGCGGCGTAAAACGTCACTCACTCACCTCTGTTTATATGCATGTCATGTGTATATTCTCCTGTGTTCATATGAATGTCATGTCATGTATGTATTCTCCCTGTTTATATTCACTCATGTATATTCACCTGTATTTATATGCATGTCATGTGTATATTCTCCTGTGTCATGTATATTCACCTGTATTTATATGAATGTCATGTGTATATTCACCTGTATTTATATGCATGTCATGTGTATATTCACCTGTATTTATATGCATGTCATGTGTATATTCACCTGTATTTATATGCATGTCATGTGTATATTCACCTGTATTTATATGCATGTCATGTGTATATTCACCTGTATTTATATGCATGTCATGTGTATATTCACCTGTATTTATATGCATGTCATGTGTATATTCACCTGTATTTATATGCATGTCATGTGTATATTCACCTGTATTTATATGCATGTCATGTGTATATTCACCTGTATTCATATGCATGTCATGTGTATATTCACCTGTATTTTCACCTGTGTTTATATGCACCTGTTTTA